AGATATGATGATATGGATACAGATATTTATGTAGATAGAGATAAGATAGATATAGGTAGGTAGGAAGGTAGATGGGTGGGTGGATATGTGGGAAGTCAGCTCCGCAGAGAAGGAAATATTAAAAGGGCAGAAAAATATATTTCCTCAAAGGATCTTAAAGAGGCAGACAAGCATGCCCAGTTTTTCTGTCTCCCTCCCCCAAGCAAAAAACAGCTCTATAGAAATGCAGATGTAAACCATCAGTAAGGTTGGAGCTAGAAGTTTAGGAAGACAAAGACACCTAAAATCTACATACCCCACCCAAAGTCCAAGACAGGACATAATAGGATTAATTCACAGATGTCACAGGGACACAGGTCAAAACTCATGCCACAGGAACAACTCCAAACAAAAGGTTCCAGAGGGTATAAAAACCCACTCCCTACATGTGCTTGCTCTCTTTTCTTCCAGACCCATCTTTCTGTCTGGCTCTCCTCTTCAATAAACTGCAACCTTCTTTCTAAAACAGTCGCCATGTTGTTTATCCCCAGCTTGGACTGAACCATGAAGGAAAACTCTTCATCAGATAGATAGATAAGATGGATAGACTGATAGAGATAATTTAGAACATGTAACAGTAGTCCATTTTAGCTTATTGAACTAGATGAATTCCCAAAATTTTACTTTGGCTTGGCTTATATGTAACCTGATTACAGTGCTTGCCAAGTAGAATGTAGCCCTCTCTGTACGAATGCCTGCAGGCACTATCTGAGTCTCTTAAAAGATTTAAAAACTACGAATTCTCCCTTTGTTTTACCCAGCCTCCCTGTACTGCCTATAGATGTAGAGATCAGCAGCAACAGAAGTTAACTTTTACTGGTGCAAAATTGCCAATCTATCCTTCATGTTTATTGAATGTGTATTCATGTTCCATTGCAATAAATCAGAGGACTTGGGAGAAAGTTTGAGAATTGGGAAAAGTCTGAACTCATTTTACTTCATTTAACACAAGGATCATATTTCAGAAAAGTAAGTATTTGAGGATGTTAGAAATATCCAGTAAGTAGAATGTGTTAAATTAAAAAATCTTTTTGACAAAGCTTGAAATCAGCCTTTTATTTTCCAGGTCAGGAAATAAAAACAATAGAGAAACTTTAAGCATGGGTCAGGGTATGTTGGCATCTGATTTAGGGTTAATAAAATCATTGATAGGTCTCAGAAACTGCCTTCTTTGGAAAAGTTCTTAAGACTAAAAGCAGATCCCTAGCTAATCCTTATATTTTCCTAATAGCAGCATGGACATGCTTCTGTAAGTAATGACTTTATATGATATACCCTATTGGATGCAGTTTAACATTGCTCTTAGCTGCTCTAAAATAATGTTTGTTCTCTTTTCAACATATTTTTTTTGCTGCAGACACAATCTAGAATGCTTCATTGATGAAGTAGTAGATGATGCAGTCAAGAGCTAGAATAAGGTAGGATATAACTTTAATGAAGAAATAAACACATCTTCCTGTATTTCGTTAGCTGCTTCTAGTAAGATGGTGCAGTTCATTTCATTTGCTAACCCAAGGAGGCAACAGCACCAGGCCCTCATGAACAGGCATATATGGATCTATTTATTTAATTAGTTTTGCCTCAGGTTTGCAGCTAAACTGTTTCCCCTAGAACATGGGTGTCAAACTTGATTGCATCATGTGATGTATTGAGATGTTTTTTGCCTTTGCAGAGCCAGTTTGAGACCCATGCCCTAGAAAATGAAAGAGAAAAAGTGTCTTGTTTGTCTTAGTTGCTGTGAATCTGTGCCTACTGTATATACTTGAAATGTTGTGTTGACTTGTTATAGAGCAACTGCATGCCACTATTAATAAGGAAAGTTAATAGATGGCTCCAACATTAGATGGAAGTGTATCATTTAATAGGACATTAGTTTGTGCATCCATTACACTGTCTTAGATGATGGAATGGCTCAAAAATACTCTCAGCTTTCCTTTTGCTCTATTATCAGAAAAGGATGGGTTAACAGTAACATCATATTCTACTAACTGAAATAATTGTTATTCAGTTAAATGGCTTCTTGTGTATGTACAATATAAATACTGAAAACACAAACACACAGTGGAAGGGACAAAATTTTTTCTCATGCTCTTAAGGAAATTGTTGACCTTCCAGTATCCAAACCTATATTTGTTGTTTTCTTAGGTATGTCAGTTATCTAAAAACAGTTTCTTCCTAAGCTGCTCTCATGAGCCTCAGGTTATAAATCTATGCACGTTTGACGCCAATGGAAAATCTGCCTCATGCCTCCCTCGAGTGACTGAAGGGTATGACAGCAACAAGACAGCCTCCCTGCACTGCCTATAGATGAAGAGGTCAAGAAGATGATAGCTTCTGTTTATGTCATGTCTGAGCAAGTCAGCCTCCTGCTCTCCAAAGAAGGAATGCTTGTTTTAAAAAACGGTCATTGAATATCAGCAACACTCATTTTCTTGTAGCATTTACTTATCTAACCCTCCCTTTTTAGGAGGGGGGACATTTCTTTTCAGCTGGATGTTTTTCTTGTAGGGTTTTGTGTTGCAAACCCAGCTCTTATGAAATGTGGCAACCCAAGAAGTACATGATGTACCATTGCCCATGATTTTACTAGTATTTATATTTAGTTTCCAATCATATTCCAATATTTCATTAGCTGTTTCAGAGGATCTGTACAGTGGCAAACATGGATTAAGTTAGAAACGATGCCAGTTTTTCAACAACCTTTGATCCATGCCATTGTGCTACTGGTGTCCTGCTATACAATGCTACCTCCCTGTATCCCCATGATGCAGGTTGTTAAGTCCTTGAAACGAAAGCGAAGAAAGAGGACACATCTCTGTAGAACAACTCTCTTTATTGCTTCAGCCAAAACTCCAACAACGAGCAGAAGCACGCAGGCCTCCTTTTATATGTCCAGATCCCCAGACAACATGGTTACATAATAAGGCCCCTTTTGCGCCTTGTGCATGCGTGCAAAGCCGGTGCCACTCAGTCTGGTCCCAGGCAGCTTTTGCAAGCCTGAGACTCTTGCAACGTCCTGAGCCTGCATCTGCAGGCTCAGGACACAACACCCCTCCCCCTAGCTTGGAACACCCAGAGCCAAGCATGGAAGGGATTCCTTATTACAAGATATTTAATCATAACCAAAACAAAATACATTATTACAGTATTCTTAAGAGTAGTACCCCTTATAACTAGACAGCAGTTTTACAAAGTCTGAAAAATATTTAGGGGGGGCCTTGGTCCTTTGTGACCTCCTCGGACCGGGAGAGTTCCCTGGATCCAGTCCATGACCCATTATGTTTGGTGAGCCAAGACATGGATGGCCACTTATTTCAGGAGACCCTGGTGTTGTTGCCTGACCTACCTGCTTGCCTGCCAGGCTCAGTAGGTCAGGGCTTTGCTGGCCCCCGGACCTGGTTGATCTGCCCCTCTGTTGATTGGCTGAGCCCTCTACACTCAACCCCACATCTCTTGGAGGAGTGGTAGTCCCTGGATCCACAATGGACCCTTCTTGGGAGCACTGTCCCTCGCCTCCATAGTTCATGGGGGAATAGTAGTAAACAACCCCATATAGGCTTATGGTCAGTGTAGACCGTGAAGTGACGGCCATAAATGAAATCATGGAACTTCTTAATGCCAGCCACAATGGCCAGTGCTTCCCTATCAATCTGAGCGTAATTACACTCAGCAGAAGACAGAGTTCTAGAATAATAAGCCACAGGAACCTGTGTCCCATCAGCCATCAAATGGCTAAGAACTGGCCCTATTCCATATGGAGAATCATCACAGGCAATGCAAACAGGTAGTTGCTCATTGAAGTGAGCTAACACAGCATTAGAAGTAAGCAAGGCCTTAACCTCATTGAAACTTTTTTCATGGACCTTGGTCCACTGCCAACAGGCTTACACTTATCCTTTTTTAACTTAAGGCCTGCTCTCCTAAAACGAAGCAAGACAGCCCTTAATCTTTTTGCCAATATTTGAGATGAGTCCCCTGCAATGAGGACATCATCAAAATATGGACAGACTCCAGGAATACCCCTCAATGTATTTTCCATGACACTTTGGAATATACCAGGGGCTACGTTCACCCGAAATTGCAATCTCTTTACTTTAAAAGCTCCTCTATGGGTCACACTTGTTTGAGCTTCAGCAGCTGCCTCATCCACAGGCAACTGTTGATAAGCCTGTGCCAGGTCAAGTTTCACAAAGATGCGCCCCCCTTTTAGGGAAGCCAGAATGTGATTTACTACAGGTACTGGATAGGCATGTTGCTGTAGTGCCTTGTTTAGTGTGCACTTGTAATCTGCACAAATATGTATGTCCCCATTTGCTTTAAGAGGCGTTACTATGGGAGTTTCTCAAGGGCTGGAATCTATGGGTTCCAAGATGCCCTGCTGGACAATTTGTCCAGTTCAGCATCAATCTTGCCTTTGAGGCAAAAGGTACCCTCCTAGGGTTGACCCTAATGGGTGTTATGGAAGGATCTAAGTGCAATGAAACTGGAGGCCCCTTATAGGATCCAAGCTCAGAACTAAACACATCTGCAAATTCTTGGCAGACTTCTGCAAGGCTTAGCGTTTGCAAATGGTGCAGCCCCATGACTTGGATTCCCAGAGCCTCAAACCAATCGAGCCCAATGAGACTCGTGCATTCACCCCCAACAACCAACACATCTAAAGGACCCTCAAAATTCCTGTACTGTACCTTAAGGGTGGCCTCCCCCTTAACACACACCTTAGAATTCTGAAAGTCTGTGAGAATCACGTTGGATGGCCTGAGTTTAACTTGAAGGCCACAACTCTGCAAATCTTCCTGAATGTGTTGAGGGAAATTATGGAAGAGTGGACCCAGTGTCCAATTCCATGGATAAAGGAACCCCTTGCAACCTTACTTTAAGGGACAGTTTCTTCTTTAGGGGTTTATGTGTGCCTGTCCTTAGGACATTTCTGCGTGTTGCGCAGAAACCCACCCTATTTTGCCTCGGGTCCCTGGTACCTTTCAGATGCAATTCTTCTCTAGGTTGTACCTTCTGACGACCCAAACAGACGGATGCGATGTGACCTTGCCTACCACATGCTCTGCAAATGGCAGAACAGAACCAGCAATCAGCTCGTTTGTGGCGTCCTCCACACCCGAAGCATTGAAGGGCTGTTGAAGCCTTTTCTGTTCATTCCTTCTGTCTTCTTCTGGCTGCCTGGTAAAGCTTGTCCACCTCATCTTCAGGAACTTCTTCCGACTCTTCTTGCACGTTCTCCTGGTGGACGGCGACAGTCTCCGGAGAGTTTCTAGTGGGCCGCATGTTCTTTACTGCCCCTCCTGCTGCTTCCTCCGCTGTAACCTCTCACAGAGCATCTTGGAATGAGACATCTTCCTTAGCAAATATCTTTTGCTGTAAGTCTCTATTCCTCAGCCCGCAAACAAAATGGTCGCGCAGCCTTTCTTCTAAGTCTTTAAACTCACATGGTCTAGCTGCTCTTCTCAAGGCCGCAATAAAGTCCTTTGCAGATTTGCCTGCCTTCTGATCCCTCTGTTCAAATGTGTGTCTCCATGCAATGACAGACAACTTGGGCTGGAAGTGCTCTTTTAGAAGCTTCTTTAAATCTGTGTATGTTACACCTTCCAGAGAGGCAGGGGCCACTAGGTTTTCAGCAATCTCAAAAGTCTCTTGACCGCATACACACAACAAAGTGGCAGCCTTAAGACCATCGTCACAAATTTGGTTGACTCTGAAGTAAGTCTCCACCCTCGCAACATATGACTCCCATCTTTCCGGGTGTGAGACATCGAATTCAGATAAGCGGCCGATCTTTGCCATTGTGGCTTGCGCTTCACCACTCATTTCTTCAAGGAAAGGGTCTTTCAGCTGAACTCACCCTCCAGCAATGCTCTAATGGCAGGATGGCTGCTGATGTTAACGCCGTTTTCCCTCTGCAGGACTTCTTTGGGGTGAGTCTTATAGCTTCCTTTTGTTTATCTTTTGAAGTATCCCACCTTCATCACCAGTGTTAAGTCCTTGAAATGAAGGCGAAGAAAGAGGACACATCTCTGTAGAACAACTCTCTTTATTGCTTCAGTCAAAACTCCAACAACGAGCAGAGGCATGCAGGCCTCCTTTTATATGCCCAGATCCCAGACAACATGGTTACATAATAAGGCCCTTTTCGTGCCTTGCGCACGCGCGCAAAGCCGGCGCCACTCAGTCTGGTCCCGGGCAGCTTTTGCAAGCCCGGGACCCTTGCAACGTCCCGAGCCTGCATCTGCAGGCTAAAGACACAATACAGGTGATCTAGGAAGCTGCAAGGATTAATTTTTGGCTCATGTTTTGCTTCAAAGAAAATGTTGTAATTGTAGTTTTGCACTGCTGCATTGAGCTACTAGTTTATAGCTTAGCATGGGTAGAAACTCCCACTTCATCTGACTTCTGGGAATTTCGCTCTCTTGCCAGAAATGAAGAAGCCATGGTGCTTTATTGGATCTTCCCTTGGTATTCAGGAAGGCCTATAAAATTAGACAAAATTAGTACAAATACATATTACAGAAATACATGAAATGTTTCTAAAAATTAAAAAAAATACTCAAAAAGAAAAAAGGGGAAAAAAGAATAGAAGGAATCTTGACTTTCATCCTCCACAAATATGATCAGCGTTAACAGCTTACTGCTATTAAAATACTATCAAAGACTTCTTTATTTCATATCTCACCCATTCTCTATAAGAATATCTCTAAAACCTCATCTCTCCGTACTAATCAGCAAAAGTCGACTAAACGTAATCAGAAATAACAACATAGGTATTACAAATGGCTATTACACCCAATTTTAATCCTTCCTTTTATATTTATCCTCCAATTATATTTAATCAGGTCCTACCTATTTCCTCTCCTCAAATAGTCAAAGTTGGTCCTAGTCAAAACAACAATTAAATATTATCAGAAATAACTAACATCATCCAATTCCAATCAGAAAGCCATTAAACCCCACCAGAAATAGCAACCCATTATTTTAATCTTGAGCAAATAAACCAATTTTTTATTCTTTCTTCTTTCTCCCAACAATCTTTGATTCGTCAAGGAAAGGACATTAACTTCCTCTCCTTAGATTTGTTCTGTTGTTTTTGAATACATTCTAACCTGCATTCTTGCCTTCCACTCATGAGTTATATCTCACAGAGTTTCAGAGATGCCTACTGAATCTTACTTTTCAAAGATTTCTCCCTTATTACTTGTCAAGACCAAATGCAGGTCAGCCTTTTCTTGTAACAACCATAATGACTATAACTGTAGGGTTAGGCAGCTCTTTGTGGGAGTATGGGAGTAATAGTGGTTATATTAAAATACTGCAGTAACAGTTCCTGTTGTTCTTTTCATACATTATCAAAACTATTTAGCCAAAGAATAATGACTTTACTCAGATAACTTATACTGTTATGTGGCAATCTGGAAGTTAACTTATGGCAACAGGACTTCTTTTCTTTGGGGTTTGAAATGTTTTGCTGCTTATTCAAGTAGCTTCATTCTAAGTATTTTCAGCTGTGGTGTACTACAACATAAAATCCTATTTTAAAATGAAGATAGAATTCTGTGGCAGATTGATCTAATTATGCCATCGATAGACTTTCATGACACTTTAGCATCTATGAAGGTTATTGTCAGCTGAGATTCTTTGATTGGTGGGCAGGGAACAGAGGCATCCACAAGATCTGATGCTAGCTTTGTGTCACTATGATACAAGCTCTGCCACTTTTGCACAAGGTTATAATATCACAACGCACATACAAAAGAAGACAGAGTTCATGGTGTGATGTTGCTTTCATAATTTGCTGCCTCTCTTGGCATTCCATGGATGTCCATATTTTCTGCATAAAGCAGGCTGCAAATTGCCAGCATCATAGTGCGCTTTGATTTCACTCAAGCAGAAAATATTATAAGGCCAGCATCTTTAAACAATTATAGAATATTTTATTATTAAATACATTCTTACTATGTAAAATAGAGCATACATGTCAAACTTGTGACGTTACGTGACGTCATGTGATATCACAGAACTTTTTCCCCATTGCTGGCAATGGGGTGGGTGCAGTTTCCTCGTGATGCGGCTGGCCCTCAGGCCGGCAGTTTGACACCCCTGAAATAGAGTATTAAAACTATGTGATAAATAATATTCCAGAAATATTTATATAGCAAACCTCCATTATCTATCAGCATTTATACTGTATGCTATAACTAAGTGTCATAAATTCAAAGAAAGGAGGACAACAGCACATTTAGAAATCTGCTTTGCTTTATTACATAGATATACTTATCAATTTTATCATTTAAACATTATGTTAATGTGGACAAGAAAATATGTTTGTGTCATTTCTTCATAGTCACATTGCTGGCAACTATTAACCAATTCCATATACATTCCTGATTATTTAAATTATCCAAGAATTCCACAAATATTTATTTATTTTATTTTATTTATGAGACTTATATACCGCTTTAAGTGCAAGCACTCTCTAAGCGGTGTACACCAGTAAGCAATGTATATATATATATTTACATTGCCCCCAACAATCTGGGTCCTCATTTTATCTACCCCGGAAGGATGGAAGGCTGAGTCAACCTTGAGCCGGTGAGATTTGAACCGCTGACCTACTGAACACAGTCAGCTAAAGTGGCCTGCAGTACTGCACTCTAACTGCTGCGCCACCTCGGCTCTATATATTGGTAAAGGATCAAAAGGATCAAATGTTGATTGTCACAAAAGTGGAAGAAATGATGGACTGAAGATAGCTCTGTGAAAAACAGTTGACAACCATGGTGGAATGAACAGACAGGCTGTTCCATAATTCCTCTCCAGATAAGGAGAGGACTTGAGATCATCCACAAGTTCTCCAGACAGCTGCTTCATATGAGATGGCAGTATTTGGTAGATTTTGAGCTCTGGGAGATAAGGCAATAGACATCTTGCTCAATTTACAGTCTCTTTGAAAGGACACTACGTCTGCATACTTTCTTTCTAATCGCTTCTGGAAATTGATTGTTAACTGCTCTTCAGACATTAAGAACCTTTGGATAGACAAGTTTTATAGCACTGGATGAGTTTCCTTCTATCCTTAATGAAAGAAGTTTTAACTGCAAGTTTAAAAACTTTTAAAAATTGGAGGGGAATAAACAGCAAAAGGGTGATTAAATTTTTGATTTTAGAAAGTTACAAATGGATTAAGAGTCCATATAGATTTGAAATAAGATTTTTGAATTAATTATAAAGAATTCTTCCCATGGGAAAATGTTTTTGTTTTGATATTTTTAACTTAAACTTTTAAAAACAATAGACACTAGAGGGAACTGTAGATTACAATTGAAGGAGAAGAATTCTCAAACTTCACTTCCAATTACAAAATACTTTAACTTTGGACATACTGAAGGGTATTTTTGAACAATGGACCCAGAAGTTAATTTTAAGAGTGTCTGCTTATATAGATGTTAAAAGATGTTATGGAAGAGAAACAAGTTCTAGCTGATAAGACTGAATTGAAAATAGATTTTAAAATGACAGGCTATAAGAATGACATGGAAAAAAATATTATAGTGGATCTACAAAAGAAACTGGATGATATCTTAATAATTAAAAAGAATACACAAATAAATCAAGAAAGTGACCTGAATATTTTTCTGATATTGGATTTACAAAAGAGACTTATTAAAGTTTTGAAAAATTTTCTTTGAAGGAACAAAGAAAAAATGAAAAGAAATTGTTCTGCAACTTTAACAGGACTAAAAAGATTAAAATTGTTAGAAATAAAAGTAAAAAATATAAAGTTGGTTTATATGATCAAGGTTAAAATGAATATATTTTTAATATCTGATAACAATGGACTTCTGTTGACATCAGGACTGAAATGACTATGCTTTATGGATTTATTTATAGATAAGAGATGGCTATAGGAAGAGGTGATCATTTTTTTGTATTTTAGAGAAGGTGATAAGTTGCTATAATTTTATCCTTGTTGTGATGAAGGTGGGAGGCCACTTCATCTATTTCTTTTCTTTATTATTTTTTCTTTCTTTTCTGTTCTCTATTTTTTTCTGCTCCTTCTACTCTCCTTTTTCCTTCATTCTTTCAGTTTATATTGGTTTCTATTATTTTATTGTTGTAAAACCATCACTTAGTCTGTATTCACTAGTCTATACTCACTAGTATCAGTAATTATTGACAAAGTTTTTATAGCAATTTTCTTTTATATTATTTCATACCTGGGAAGAGAATAATAGGTCTTTTGGGCAGATTAATTGCCGTAGTTGATTAAAATTTGCTGTGCCTGTTAGCATTTCCCATCTTTAAGTTACCATTTTACCTTTTAATGATAGTAACTAATGTACCTAAGATAATAGACTCTTCTATTACAAATTTAAATTTCACATAATGTCAATTCCAAGGCCAAATTTATTTTTCTATATATTCTGACTAGGAGAGCTCCTTATAGAAGCATTGGAATAAATTTCTATTTAATCTACTAATAGCCTATGTCTGACTATAAAACCTCCACTTATCTGAATTGTATAAAATATCCCCATGAGTGCTATTTCATTATATAAAGAATTCTGGGTTAATTGATATGGCAGGGTGAAACATAACTTTTAAAAATTTGTGGGTTTATGCTACAATCCTCTGCACAGTATTGACGAGCAAAAAAAAAAAAACCTACTTAGACCTACTGAACTCTATAGGCATTCTTCCATATAGAAAATTATATACATATTTTATATTTTTATAAAATGCTGTAAAAATCTTGACAGAACTTTCAGGTTTGCATTTTTCCTCTCAGTGCATCTTGGTTTTTAACTATTATAAGCTGATTTTTCCTTCTGTTTTGGTAATTACCTTTAACTCAGCAGCATTGTAGTATGCTACTAAATTCAGGATTTTCTAGCTTTACTTAAGAGTTCAGTATCTGAGTTTGGAGGAACTTTGAAAACTGGCAGAATTTTACTTGGAACCCTAATAGTCTGAGGCCTCAACCAAAAGTTCTGGAACTGTGGATTATGTAAAGGGCATAGGGAATAGTCTTGAAGGACAGAAGGAAGAGCTGCTATCAAAGCAACAGTCTGATAAGAGTGGCCTGAACCGGGGCCAAGAAAATAATGTGAGGAAATATCTCAGACAAGTTCCACTCTAGTTCACTCAATAAAATGAGGGAGAGGGAAGCACTTTCAGACTTGCAAGATTCTGCATTAGTTTCTTAATCTGGTCTACCATGTTGGATTAACAGAATGTGATTTCCCACCCACCCAATCCATCCTACCAAAATCATTAAAAACTTTAAATGGAATTTGACATTTTAAAGCAAAAAAACATTGAGCAGGATTTTACGCTTGGCTTTGTTTCCCACTTTACTTGAACAAGTGCACAACAGGTAGTTTGATATGCAAAGTTTGAGAATCCCTATGTTATTACAAAGCAAATTTAATTTAACTTATTAAATATATGTATGGAGATTGCAAAATTCCTTTATTGTTTTAGGATGACTTGGTATTCTAAAATATGATAACTCTGTCTTATAGAAACATTTTATTTAAAGAGATTTCTTTACCTTAAAACAGTGGTTCTCAACCTGTGGGTCGAGACCCCATTTGGGGTCGAATGACCATTTCACGGGGGTCACCAAACCATGCTGTCCGCCATTTTTTTCCCTTTTCCCTAGCTGTCCTACTCCCTCTTATTGGTGGCCACACCCACTTGGGGGTCACCACAACATGGGGAACTGTATTATGGGGTCACGGCATTAGAAAGGTTGAGAATCACTGCCTTAAAAAGACTTCCAGTAATAAATGAAACTTCCTTATTCCAAGGTGTCTTGAAAATGCTGAACATTAGAGTCTCACTTCATACAAAAGCTGAAGGAGAAAGGTTTAAAGACAAATTTATCTCAAGGAATGTAATATTCATAACTGAGCCAGCAAAACTATCTTCTCCACATACGAAAAAATAAAAACAAACTAGCTAAGTTACAGTTTTTTTCTGAAGATCATTAACCATCTTGTATCAGTGCAGAAATACCTCATTCAAAACATTTTTCCCTATGTACACAATTACCTAGAGCAATATTGACTGGTAAACGGATTTTAATAAAGTAGAATGAAATCTAAGAATTCCTCTGTATTGCCACAGAGGAGAATAGAAGCAAAGCTTTCACTGAAATTTCCTAATATATGAAAGATAAAAGTGGACAAAACATATGTGAAAGACACTGACTTTGCCAAAATTATCTTGAGTTCTGAAGAGACAGAATCTTTTGTGAGATTTTCATCATGACTTGCTTATAAAATTTCCAAGTCATTAAATCTCTCAAATTTGCTACATAAACATATTCAAGTATCTACCTACTTATATAAAATTGGATATCCAGATATATATCTTCCTTAAAAGAGAAGATTTAAATCTCTCCTTTTTTTTTGAAAGAATCATTTCCATGCTACTCTAAAAATAAATATATGGGGAGTACAAAATTTGAGAATTGCTTGATTGGCCATAGCCTTTTCTAACAATTGGGGATAAACTCCTGGCTCAGAAGCTAATCAAGGAAGCTGTTCATGGAAGTTTCAATTAAACACTTTTTTGGTTGTTATTAGAATAGATAGCAAGAAGAAAAACTGGCGAGGAATAATGGAAATTATAAGGGCAGAGAGCTGAAAAACAACAGACTGGAGAAAGCTGATCTATACGAATGATTGTTTTTTCTGTCTTACCTGATACAGTCTGAAAGAGTTCAGCATCACAATGGAAAATATAATTCATACACTGACATGGTCACTTTTTAATTTGTTTTCAGGGGCACAGCCTCATCTTCCATAATGGAGGGACCTCCTCTGGCTGAGAAAACAAGGGAAGCAGCCAGAGAACAGGCTTGTATTGTTTACTGTATAAGGAAAACTCAGTTGGGGCCCCATTAAACTCTTCAAATCTAATCTGGCAACACACTCAAACTCCTTGAGTTACATTCCTGTTATCCCTTGCTCACCCAAACCTTAAGGCAGTCTATTTAAATTGTTTGGATGCATTCCCTACCTTCTCCCACAACTTGAATGATGTCAAAAGTATTAACATTTTCTATTGTCCTCTTATTTAGTCGAGTTTTGACATGGGAATGTTAATAGTTTATAGCCAATGATAGAGAGATGGAAAAAAGGAAGGAGAAAGGGGAGACTTAATTCCAAGTAATGGATATTCACTGAAATGGATACCTTTTTCCAGTACTGACACAGAACCCACCCTTCTCAGCCTAGTACCAATACAGTATATGTTGGACCACAACTTCTATAATTTTCCTGGGATTATATTATAGTTAGGGAAAGCTGCTACAACTCTTACATCAGTATCTTTGTTAGCTTCTAAAAACTATGGTAGCATTTCAACAAAATTATAAGGCAGCATTCACTTGGTCAATTTTAACCTTAGGTTATTTTGTGGATTAGTGTATATAAAGTCAGTCCTTTAGGTTAGGTTGGTTTATGATCGAATATATTATGCAAACCCAGAAAATGGGTTAACTCTATAGCCAGATTAAACATGTTGTGTGAACCCTTTCCTTGCTTCATAATTTTGTTTTAAAACCTTTAACTGAAAATATTGATAAATTATCATCCTCTAGTTATCAACTAAAGTTTTTTCTACATAATGCAAAACTTTTTTTTCAGAAATAGATCTGAAATTGAATTAATGATCATGTTGATTATTGCATTTCCTTCATTAAAATAAAACTCCAATATATTGTGTCATCTGTCTCTAGCACATGGCAATATAGACAGAATTTCTGTCTTTAGCCCATATCTTCTTGCACATGAACCTTGTATTGCTGTTATAATTGCCCCTTTTTACCCTCCTTCTTCTAAATGCCATAATATATATTTAAATGGTGTCTTAAAATAAAACTACTCAAATTATCCCCATTGGGACTCATCAAGTCCCCACTGTGTTACAAATTGCAGCTGACAAGCAGTGATAGGTTTCTATAGAGATTTCCTCTTATTTCCTAACAATCTTTTGAAAATGTTTTATTTTCACTTGCCCTATTGCCATTTGACATCTTGAGCTTTCTGAGCTTGAACAACAGTGGTCTTTTTTCTTTCAAGAGAACATCTACTGCCTCTGTCAGTCAGAGAAGGTCAGTGCACAGAGAGTGGGCTGAATTAGAGGTCTTGATGCTTTACCATCCACCCAGGAAGTGGAGCTTCCATAATCTCCATTTCTGAAGAAAAGAGGAAGAGAAAAATCTACATAAAGACCAGATATTATCCCTTGCTACCCCTGACTATCCAGTTTTTATTGTGTTATCACAGATAAATACATGAAGTTTGGATAATCTACATAAGTAAACAAGGCTGGCTTAGGAAATATAATAGAATGATGGATTCACTTATCACATCATATTGTAATTTATTCAACCATGCTTTACTGGACAAATAACAATTGGCAGCATTTACATAAAAAAAAGAAGCCAAAGCTAAGTGGACCCTTTAATAGGCTTTACTATATTGTCTAAACAAGATGAATAACTAGAGTAAATAAGTCAACCTTTTAACCCTGTGTCAAGTGCAGAAATTATGGAACAAGAGAAAGCTGAGATACCCTCCCCCTCCGGTAAAAAATTAAAGGAGTAGGAGCAGGATGAACATTAAATACATGCAGACACACACACACTTACAAGATACCCATCTCTCCACATTTCATTACATTCCCTTGTCATTGTACTGATTCCTCCTATCAACAATACTGAACAATAATATTGTCAGACTGGACAAATGTGTCATGCTCAATATCAAACAGGGAAAAATAGTGAAAATTGAAGAAATCAAGGTGCCCTATGGAAATAAAATCAGTCTGGGAGAAGACGATCATCCTTCAATTGGACATTAAGCATACTGAAGTCAAGAAAAGGGTTGGAAGTGAATACATCAAGAGAGTGAAAAAGATCTTAAAGTCCAAGCTCAGAGAAGGAAACACCATCAAGGCAATTAACACCTGGGCAATTCCAGTCATTAGATATACAGCTGGAATAGTGGACTGGACTCAAGCAGAAGTGAAAGCAGAATTAAAAGTACTGAATATGAAAAAATAATGATAAATGATGTATTGTCAGTGATATGGACAGATTATACCAACCAAGGAAAATGGGTGGGCATGGAATGTTGTAAGTACATCAGGCAGTTGAAGGGGGGGGGGGAAACATTGGAAGAATGTCTAAAAGAAAGTGAAGAAGATGCACTGAAGTTAGTATAGCAGGAAGGCTTATTGAGTATTGAATACTGGGGAGACCAAACTGTCCTATAAGAAAAAACAAAGAGACATGGGAAGACAAAGTATTCCATGACTAGTACATTAAAAAAATATCAGGCAAAGAAGATAACAAGGTCTTGCCATGGCTAAGGCAGGAAAGTTGAAGAAAGAGACAGATGGGCTAATTATGGCTGCACAAGATCAAGTCTTAAGAACAAATGCCAACAAAGCCAGAATTGAGAAGACAGCAACAGATAGAAAATGTCATCTCTACAAGAAAGCTGAAGAAACAGTGGACTACCTGGTTAGCTACTGCAAGAAGACCGCACAAACTGACTACAAAGGCACAACAAAGTAGCAACAATGATGCATTGCAAGCAAGAACTGGTGGGACCAATAGAGAAAGTAAGAGAAAATAAAGTGCCCTGAGACTTTAGAATTCAAAAAGGCATCTGCCACATAACACCCCAGACTTAACAATTATGGATAAGAAAGACAAAAAAGTCTGGATAGTGGATGTGGCAATATCTGGAGACAGCAGAATAGAAGAAAAAAACATGGAAAAGATAACAAAATATAAAGATCTGCAAATAGAAATAGAAAGTCTATTGCAAAAGAAAGCAAAGGTAGCACCACTAGTAATAGATGCACTGGGTACAGTTCCAAAACAACTGGAGCACTAGTTGAACGCCGTTCAAGTATTGACAAATTCACCATCAATTAACGGCAGAAGGTAGCTTTACCTGGAACAGCTTACATCCTGCAACGATATCTCTAACACCATCTAACACTCACATCTGTCTACCCAGGACCTTGAGAAGAACTCGATAAATGGACAAAAATGCCAAATCCAGTCTGAATATCTGGTTGACTATACAATGAACTAATAATAATAGGCTTTCTGCTATGCAATGAACTAATGATAATATGTTTTTGGCTCACTTTTAACATAACATTTTCTCTTCCTTTCTTAAAAACTCATATTCATAATCACACACATATTTTAGTTATGTCAGCAAGATTTCTACTTCTAACTAGAGGACCACCCACTGAGTGTGGGAACCAGGCTGGGTAGAGGTGGGCACTCTGGTTTCAAATTTAGATAGAGAAAATAAAGAACAAAAAGAAAAAAATGACACCAGCCCAGTAGGGGAATGGACAAGGACAATGTATGTGTTTGAGATATATCCCATTTTTAAAAAACGTTGATGGGTATTCAAGGCAGCGAGAGCCATTTGCAGTGGGAAAGCAAGGGGGGCAAAACACAAAAGAGGCATTGCTCAGTTCTGCCACAAGATCTGATGTCATGTGAAAGAGATGGAGCTTGAATCCCAATGGTGACACTCTGACAAAAGCATTGGATGAGCCTGCGGACCCCTCTAAAGATATATCATTAAAAAGCAAACACTGAAATGGAACATACAAACAAGCATACAAACCCATGTTGAACCTAAAATAAGAATTCAAATCAAAATGGAAAGATTTGTTGCTGGTAGGGAAGGAAGGCAGGCAATGTATTAATTTGCTATGGGGTATGTATGGTGCAGTTGTGTGAATTCAACTATTATGATTGGTAAACTATAGTTTATATGTTAGCATGATCTGTATCCCCATCCACTTGTGGTTATTCAGCAAACTAGGCTTAAGCAAAACTCGCTTAGAGCAATGGGTGATTTCAATCATTTTGTTGCAATTTCAGGTAAAAGCACATTTTGTTTAAGGAGTTGCAGTTTGTGCCCCTGCGTGCCCTGAAACATCCTTTTCTCTTTGAATTTGAAGACATACACAGTCTTACTACTTGACGGTGATCTTCAAAGCCAAGTTGATCTCAGATGAAATACTGTACTATGAAAACTTAAGCTAGCTAGGAATTTTTGAGGTATTTAGTTCCAACCCATAAAGCGCCCAGACTGGAGAAAAATTGCACAAGAAACTTAAATGTTTATTTCTCCAGAGCTTTGATGAGTTGTGATTTTTTTTTTTTTAATCTGCTCAGTCATGTCCAATTCTCAAAGATTGCCTGGATAAATCTCTGCAGTTTTCTTGGCAAGATTTTTTCAGATGTGATTTACCATTGCCTCCATTCTAGTCTGAGAAAAAGTGGCTGGTCCAAAATCACCTACCTGGCTTTGTGCTCAAGGTAGGAGTAGAACAAGCTATAAATAATGTGAATCATTCAACAGATGCAGAGAAACACTTGCTTTTTCATGCAAGGTGCTTAAGGGGCCCCAGGTTGGGAAACATTGCATAAGAAACCTCAGTGTTATCTTTAGGGATTTCTTCACAGCTTTGGGTTAGCTAAGCAAAATGGCCGGCATTTCAACAGATGCAAAGAATACTTGATTTTTCATGCAAGTTGCTTATCTCTTTTGTAATTCAGTTTCTTCTTCATTGATCATGCCAATTTTTTTCATTAACATTTATGCCTCTGCATTAGGCAGGGTCCCATTTTTCCCTTCTGAAGATTCTGATCTGCTTTCCCCCTTCCCCCTTTTATGTGCAGGAACAACACATAGTTCAGCTCAACTTCTCTTTTAAGATCTAACTGAAAAGATAGAGCAAAACCTGCAAAAACATTTCGGGAACGGCTAAATGAAATTATAGGAAAAAAATTGACGAGATGGCAGCAGCGTGTTCTAACTGATGGAGAAGATATTCTTACCTGGTTGATAAAATGTTACATCGCTTGCATTTCAGTGATAACAGTAGTTGGGTTCTTTTGATCCTATCACAGAATTTGACATCCTGCCACTAAAGAAATGAAGTAATCAAAATGAACAGAGTCCTAAATCCTTCTAGTTCTTTTAAACTGCAAGACTACAACATGTGGTGTCCTCAAGACAACCAGACAAAAAGAAAGCTAACCCTTTTTTAGGACTGTGCCTGTTAGACCACAGTAATGATGCAAAGAACAGGAAAGTCCTTGGGATGAAGACATTTTTCCCAAGTGCTCCTGTCTGAGACTATAGCTACTCCACCTGTAGTAGTTTATGTAGTAGTTTATACCAAAGGATCTGGCTCATTTTTAGCAGATCATATCATTCATTGGCTGGTGGGGTCAATTTCATTTCTTCTCTGAAAAATGGGAGTGCAAAGGATTTCTGAGACAAAGAATCTGTATTTTTAGATAGGTGTCATTTAATGACTGCTGTGTGGTATTAGAGATGGAAGACTCAAGTTCGGTTCCCAATTTATTCCAGTGGTGGGATTCAAATATGTGAACAATCGGTGGATGCCACTTCCAGAAGTCCATTCTGGGCCTGGGCAACAAAAAATTAGCTACCGGTTCTGCTGAAGTGGTGTGAAATGGCTGAATCCCACCACTGATTTATTCCCCTTTCACCTTCTCTTCTTTGGTTTCATTAATATTGTTTAAGAGGGCTTTGCTTGCCTACATGTGTTGGAATATAATTCCCATCAAATGTGTTTAAAATTGCAGTCAGAGACATTTCAGTTCTTCAAAGACAGCAAAATACTTTCTTCCCCAAGGACTGGACTAGAAAACATTTGCACCACAATTCTAAATTTGCTTCTTTAGGACAAGATGCACAACTTTTCAGTGGCCAGCAATCAACTTGGGGGGGGGGGGAGAGAAAAAATAATCAATAGTGTATGACAAAAGCAGAAATTCAGGGTGGTGGGCACAACTATGCAATCAAAGCCATGTGTCTCTTTTTAAGTGCATGATGCACTTCAAAAAAGGGAGAGGTTCAATTGTGCATTCATGAGTGTATGATTTTTGCCTTTTTGAACACACCCACACACACCCCAGATGCTTCAGTCAACCTTTGCCACTTTGGAGGCAGATTTTTTTTCTTAGGTTTTATAGCTATTTTAAGCCTAAATAGTGGGTAAAAAAATGACAATAAAGGTTATCTTTTATGTTTTCTACCAAAAATAGGTGGAAAGTTATTTTATTGTTTGAGAGCCATTCACAATCCTGGAGATTCAGGGACACATCTCCCCCCCCCCCCAATTTTTTTCAAAGATATATGTGCAGGTTTCAAATCCTCTGCTTAATTCAACTGTGCTAAACTAAACTTGTAACAGGTAAAGTTTATCATTCCAATCATTACTGTACTCAACTAGCATCTTCTAATTAACTGTTCCCTTTTAATTTACTGTACTATAAAAGGCCATGTAATTAAAACAAGCATAACAATTAGACCTACCAAAATCAACATTAGCCTTACCTAGATTCGCACTTCCCATGACCTTTCTGTGGATAGTTTAACTGTGCAATGAAAACAATTTCCAGAAAGTGTATAAAAAGCTTTCCCACATTTCTCTGCCTCTGCAGTGCGACGACCGGAGCTGTCACTTTGTGCTTTGATGTCCATAGCTCTTTGTTAATCCTAAATTGCTTCCCATGTCATTCCCCATCTTTTTGCGAGATAGCTAACCTCATCGTGACATCATGCACCTGCCAGTCACAGAGAGTTAAAAAGCACCCTGAACACAGCCCCATCCAGCTCCACTGCAAACTGACGCAAATGAAACACTTCTAGCTATCCCTGCAGCTGACGCTGACTGCATCCCCTTAATTCCACTGGGGAGAACAGGGCGGAGGAGGTGACTCAGTCTGTTCCAGGATGGCCTGGTATTTGAGATAATCAGCCTGCTCTTTAAACTGCAGCCAACGTGGCATGCAGGAGCACTTCCCTGGGTCAAGGAGAAATACTTCTCTCGCACAACTCCTCTTTAATCTATGTGTATAATACAGATTCTCCCCATTTCCCTGTCCCTTTTATTCTTCTTCTTATAAAATCATATGCTTTGCAAATTAAAAGAGCTCAGACACTGAAGCAACATTTCAAGGTACCACAGGGGAGAGGAGCTCATAAGAAAATAAAGACATGAATACAAGCGGATGGAATATCAATTGGTTGCACAAAAATTCAAGGGATGTCATTGACCTTAGAGCTCCCAGAACAGAGCAGCGACAATCTGGATGGTCACTTCATGGCAATAAGGAATTAACCTAGGTTTTCGCAGCCCAGATCTGAGAGTCCTGATATTCATCTGAATGAATACTATAAGATGTTTTCTCCAGCTGCTCATTTAGGCATTCTTTGGCTACACATTTCATGTTCTTACATAACAGGTAGTTAATAACAGAACAATCCTTTATCCCAGCTTCCATGTTATTGATCCAATAGATCAGGTGCTGACTAATTCTGGATCTTCCTTGCACTTTTCTCCACCATTTTTGTTGTTATTATAAATTATTTCATTTTAACTTTTTTTTTGTGGTTGATGTCCATCTCCTTTATCCAAGCTGAATTCTTACTATATTTCTTTGTGTTGCCCCACAACTGCTCCCAGAACTTAACCGTTTCTTCTTTGTGAGGTCTTGGCTGGTCCATTGCAGTCTCTCCATCGATGGATTGTGTTATGTCCTGAGCCTTGCAAGCAGGCTCGGGGCATTGCAGGCGGTCCCGGGCAGGTGCAAGCTGCCCGGGATCAGACAGGCTGTCGCCAGTACGCGTGCGCATGCGCGGGTGCTGGCGCGCCAAAAGTAGCAGATTGACCCAGGAAAGGCCTATAAAAGGAGGCCGAGAGTTTTAGGCGTTGCCGCCATATTCCAATGTAAGCTGAACTGAAGAATAAAGGTTTCCTGAGAACTACAACTGCTTCTCGTGTCTTACCATTTCGCGACGGACTCAACACTGGCGACGAGGATGGGATCGCCTTACATCAAAGAAGAAAAGGTGTAAAGCTTACCCGAGTGAGTCCGGAGCGGCAGGAACGGCGTTGACTCGGCAGCTACCCGCCAATCCAGTGCGCATTCGGGGGTAGGCTGGCTGATAGACCCTTCCTGATTCGAAATGGCAAAGATTGGAAGGCTTTCGGAATTCGACGTCTCACATCCAAAGAGGTGGGAGTCCTACGTAGCCAGGGTGGAAAACTACCTCAAAGTGAACCAGGTGAGGGAAGAGAGCTTGAAAGCTGCCACCCTGCTGTGCGTTTGCGGTCAAGACGCATTCGAAATCGCTGAGAACCTCACAGCACCTGTTCCTTTAGAGTCTGTCAGCTACGCAGATCTAAAGAAGTTATTGAAGGAGCACTTCCAGCCTAAGATGTCCGTCATCGCGTGGCGCCACACCTTCGAGCAGAGGGATCAACGACCCGGAGAATCGGCCAAGGAGTACATCGCCGCACTGAGGAAAGCCGCCAAACACTGCAAGTTCAAGGACCTCGAGGAGCGACTGAGGGACCGGTTTGTATGCAGGCTAAGGCATCGAGAGTTGCAACGGAGACTTTTCGCCAAGGAGGACTTGTCTTTCCAAGATGCCTTGAGAGAGGTCATCGCAGAAGAAGCAGTGGGCGGCGCCATCAAGAACATGCGGCCAATCAGAAACAGTCCAGATGCTGTGTCCGTGCACCAGGAAGAAGTCCAAAGGAACTCCGAGGAGGATCCGGACGAGGAAGTGGACCGTCTCCACCCCACAAAGGAAGGAAAACCAAGAGGAAGCTCTTCAGCTCTCCCCAAGTGCATCGGTTGTGGAGGTCGCCACAAGAGAGCCGACTGCAAGTTCCACTCCGCTATCTGCCGGGCGTGCGGAAAACAAGGACACATTGCAGCTGTGTGCCTGGGCCGTCAGAAGGTACAATCTCAGGAAGAATTACGCCTGAAAGGTACCAGGGTCCCCAGCCAGAATAGGGTGGGGTTTTGTGCTTCACGAAGAAGCATCTACAGGACAGGCACACACAAGCCCATTAAGAAAAAGCTGTCACTTAAGGTGAAGCTACAAGGGGTTCCATTAACTATGGAACTGGACATGGGGTCTGCACTTTCGATCATTTCTATGCACACATTTAAGAAGATTTATTCCGGCAGCAGAACCCAGGCCAAGTTGAGGCTTTCTGACATTGTGCTAACGGATTTTCAAAACTCCAGAGTGTGTGTTAAGGGGGAGGCCACCCTTAACGTACAGTATAAGGATTTTGAGGGTCCACTAGACCTACTAGTAGTAGAGGGTGAACGAACGAGTCTCATAGGACTCGAGTGGTTTGAGGCCTTGGGGATACACGTCACAGGGCTCAACAGCCTACAAACACTCGACCTACAGGAAGTCTGCAAAGAATTTGCAGACGTTTTCAGCCCCCAGCTGGGCACATTCAAAGGACCCCCTGTGTCGTTAAAACTAGACCCCATGGTCACTCCCATTAGAATTAAAGCAAGAAGGGTCCCTTTTGCTTTAAAGAGTAAAATTGACACTGAATTGGATAAACTGATCCAACAAGGAATTCTAGAACGAGTTGACTCCAGTCCATGGGACACCCCCATTGTCACACCTCTAAGGCAAATGGGGACATTCGCATCTGTGCTGATTACAAATGCACTCTAAATAAGGCATTGCAGCAACATGCCTATCCTGTTCCTGTGGTCAGTCATATCCTGGCCTCCCTCAAGGGGGGGCGCGTTTTTGCAAAGCTTGACCTAGCTCAAGCATATCAACAGCTGCCTGTTGATGATGACGCTGCTATAGCTCAGACTATTGTGACCCACAGAGGGGCTTTCAAGGTAAAGAGACTTCAATTTGGAGTAAATGTCGCTCCTGGGATTTTCCAAAGCGTAATGGAAAACACACTACGGGGTATACCAGGGGTTTGCCCCTATTTTGATGATGTCTTAATTGCAGGAGACTCCACACACATTCTAGCTGAAAGGCTAAGGGCTGTCCTATTAAGGTTCAGGAAAACGGGACTCAAACTCAAGAAGGACAAATGTAAAATTGGGGTGCCTTCTACTGAGTTTCTGGGGTTCAAAATTGATGCTGCTGGGATTCATCCTGCTGAATCCAAACTAAAAGCCATTATGCAAGCCCCTAGGCCAAAGTCTAAGGCCGAACTACAGGCTTTTCTGGGCCTTCTGAATTTCTACAATTCCTTTCTTCCACACAAGGCTAGTGTAGCTGAGCCTCTTCACAGGCTATTAGATAAACAGGCAGTGTGGCAGTGGTCACAAACACATGAGGCTAGTTTCAATGAGGTCAAGGCCTTGCTCACTTCTAACAGTGTACTTGCTCACTTCAATGAGTCCCTTCCTGTGTGCATCGCTTGTGATGCTTCCCCTTATGGGGTGGGTGCTGTACTGAGCCACCTCAGGGCTGATGGAACTCAGGTTCCTGTTGCATATTACTCCAGGACATTGTCTTCAGCTGAGCACAACTATGCTCAAATAGACAGGGAAGCCTTAGCTGTTGTTGCTGGAATTAAAAAATTCCATGATTTTTTATATGGTAGGCATTTCACGGTCTTCACTGACCATAAGCCTTTGTTGGGACTGTTTACCACACGTAAACAAACTCCCCAAATCATCTCCCCCAGGATGCTCAGGTGGTCTATCTTTTTGTCTGCATATGATTTTTCCCTACTTCACAAGCCTGGGAAGGAAATGGGCCATGCTGATGGCCTCAGTAGATTACCCCTGCTGGTAATAGAGGCTGACCCCGCGCCAGCCATCAATATTCTCTCCATTCAAGCCTTGCCCGAGTCCCCCCTGAATGCCAGGGATGTAGCCGCTGAATCAGGCACAGATCACACACTTTCACGTGTCCTTTCTTGGGTTTTGTCTGGATGGCCTGAGCACTGTCCTAGTCCTGAGTTTCAGAGTTTCTGGTCTAAACGGAACGAGTTGTCCACCTCTCAGGGTTGTCTGCTTTGGGGAAGCAGAGTTGTCATTCCCACCTCAATGAGGACTAGGGTCTTAGATTCCCTCCACGAGGGTCATCCTGGCATTGTACGAATGAAGGCTCTTGCACGCAGCCACTTGTGGTGGCCAGGTGTAGACAAAGACATAGAAGCTAAGGTGCATGCTTGCCACCTTTGTCAACGCTCACGCCCTGAAATGCCCCAAGCTCCTGTGCATAGATGGGAGGAAACACAGTCTCCATGGTCTAGGGTGCACATTGACTACGCTGGGCCCTTTCAGGGTCAATTCTTCTTGGTCCTCGTTGACAGCCATTCAAAATGGCTTGAGGTTGTACCTGTCTCTTCCACCACCACTGCAAAGACTATTCAGGTACTGAGGGGGATTTTTGCTGCACACGGGCTCCCAGATGTCATTGTATCTGACAACGGCCCTCAATTCACTTCCTCCGAATTCCAAGCTTTCTTGCAGCTAACATGATTCGTCATGCCACTTCTGCACCTTTCCACCCGTCCACCAACGGTATGGCTGAACGCATGGTTTGCATCACCAAGGACGCCTTGAAGAGGCTCACCTACGGGGACTGGAATCACAGGTTGGCTGACTTCCTCCTTTCTTATCGCACCACACCGTCCAGTTCTACAGGGAAAAGCCCAGCTGAACTTCGTTGGGGGCGCAAACTGACTACCAAGCTTGACTGGTTGCATCCGGACAGACTGCCTCCTTCTGTCTCACACCCCAGGACACCTAGGCAACTACTTGTGGGTGCCCCGGTTTGGATTCGTAATTACGGGCCTGGTCATACATGGGTCCCCACATCTATATTCAGGGTCACAGGTCCTCTATCCTACGAGGTATCCCTGGACAACGGTCGTGTCCTGCGTCGGCACATTGACCAACTTCGCCCTAGACGGGACCTTCCCGCTGAGACTCCTGGGTCTTTTCCAGGGGGAGGGGGAGCCCTTTGGGCAAAGGGAGGGGCATGGAATGCTGCCCTTTACCAATGAGGGAGCCACAAACGGCCCATCCCAAAATTCCGCGAGTGCTCCAAACAGGAATTCTAGGAGCTTAACCAGTTATCAGGCATTCACGCCTACTCCAGCCAGGGAGTCACCCCGGGGGCATGATCACTTCTCACCCATATCACTCAGTACTCCAGTCAGAGAGAATACCCGGCAGCATCCCAACAATCCATTCCCTTCAAGAGAGCTGGCACACACTCCTCCTAGTTGGGGGCAAACACACAGGGAGGTGGTCGAGGAACCAAATCCCGACTACAACACCTCTGACTACACTCAGGGGACAACTGAGTTTTGAGACAGTACTGAAACCCACACAAGCCCGGACACAGAACGGGATTCAGGGGATAGACAGCCTCCTGACAGGTCTTGGACGGACCTAGGAGGTTCTACAGAAACGCCCAACAGTGACAGTCACTTAGAAGGGCCAGAGAGCCTACAGCTAGGCGGGACAACCAGGTCATACACTGGAAGAAGCCCTGGCCTGATGAGCCCGGTGGGTAAGCAAGCAGGCCAGGCATTGGAGCACAGTCCTTGGGAGTCACCAAGGCATAACAAGGGAAACAAGCACACATCACCCCTCAGTCAGGGGGTACCTGTCAGACACCCAGAGCTTAGGAGGTCACAGAGAGCAAGGAAATCTCCTAAGTACTTAGAGGATTACATAACACTATTGGCTAAACAGAGCCAGTAGAAGGGTAGAAACACTAAGGCAATGGAAACGGGGGGAACTCCGAACATTGGGGGAGCAGAGCATTGTACTAAGAGTGGGTTGTGTATTATTATGGCATTGGTCGTAGTTTTAGCCCGGGGGAAAGGGGTGTTATGTCCTGAGCCTTGCAAGCAGGCTCGGGGCATTGCAGGCGGTCCCGGGCAGGTGCAAACTGCCCGGGACCAGACAGGCTGTCGCCAGTACGCGTGCACATGCGCAGGTGCTGGCGCGCCAAAAGTAGCAGATTGACCCGGGAAAGGCCTATAAAAGAGGCCGAGAGTTTTAGGCGTTGCCGCCATATTCCAATGTAAACTGAACTGAAGAATAAAGGTTTCCTGAGAACTACAACTGCTTCTCGTGTCTTACCATTTCGCGACGGACTCAACAGATTGGTAGAAACATTTCTGATATGACTGAAATTGGAGATTCTGCCTGCAGTGTGCAATTTGACCTTCATATCTGCTGATTTTCTTAACTATGGCTGTTATTTGCTGCTTTGTTATTTCTAGTGATTCCTCGATCTTTCTTTTCTTTGGGTGGTATTTGTTGGTCAAGTATTCTTTTGACTTAATGTTCTTCAGCTTCTTTTCTTTTATCTGTTCTAGCTTGCTTGCATCTGACCTTAGCATGCTCATCTTATTCTTCTAGCCTGATATTCTAGCTTGGTGGTATACTTCTTGGGTTTTTTTGCCTTGTTTATTGACTTTGCATTCAAGATCTTTAGTTATTAACTGCAGCTATACTGTACATCACTTGATTTGTTTCTTGCAGTGAGCTGGTGCTTATATTCAATATTATAGTATGGTATCTTTTAATACTTGTGCTAGCTGATTTGTTCTGCAGGAAACCTTATTCTGTTATTTATTATTCTCCCTCTCTGAAGGAGATGGGCAGTTAAGAAATATGAAATACAAATAAGTATAAATATAAATATTTTTGTACTGCTCTAAATGCTTAGTGATTCTTCATTTCACCTTCTCTTGTTTTTCAGTTAGGAGTCTTTGGACAAGGTTTGTAAATGAGAACAGCTCAATAACAATTCTGACTTCCTCTATTATGGATTCCTCTGATTTACCCTTTCTGTCTGGGCTACTTCTGATAAATCTTTGATCTCTTTGTCTGGAGTAGACTTCTGCAGTTCTTCTAATTCTGCTTCTTTGAATACTTTATTTTGTGTTATAAATTGACACTGATCTGCTTTGTTCTATTATTTTGATTCTGGATGTTGTTCTTTCCAGAATGGATGCATTTTTTTTTTCAAATATCCTCTTCTCATTAAACTTGATTTGTGATAGCAAATCATTATTGCTTGTTTTCTATCTTTGTACATTTGCAGTGGGTAAGAAACCTTTCTTCCAGTAGACCTGCTGGTGCTGGCCCTGATTGCTCAGCCAACAATCTTGAGTCTTATAGCCCACTTGTCATAAAATGTCAAGGAACTCTAACACCTGGTGTGGTCCTTATTGATCCAGGTGATGGCCAATCCAGTATAGGTTTCTATAAATTGCATCTCACAATATTGTTATGGGATAGACACTCTTAATTTGGCTCTTCTGATGAGACCCATCCGCTGGCATGACTTCTTCCTAATGGGAAAACTGTAAAAATACCAATATTTCTGTTCAACTTCCAGTCAACCAAATCCAGATAGCTAATTGTGGGAGATTTTGAAAACTGATTGAGCAACATTTGTAGGGCTATATGTTCCCTATGTTTCAACATTACTGTGAACAAGTTTAAATATTTGGGGATTTATTTAACAAAAAAATAATATATCTATGTAAGAACAATTATTTCCAGAGTTGGAAACAATAAAATGGTAGATTTTAAGACTATGAAAGTTAAAACTGTCTTGGTTAAAAATGAATATATTACCAGGGTTATTTTTGTCTGTCTGTCTGTCTGCTGTTGTTTCAAATGATTCCAATAAGAATTAAATATAAAATACTGTAAACCGAATACAATATTTTTAAATTGTACTACCGTGCTAGTTGCTAAACTTGGATAACAGATGGATTGGATTGATTCTGTGGAAGAAACAGGACTTCCAAATAGTCTGCAGAAATATCTCTGATCTGAAACAAATAGGAAAATATAACTGATAAGAAATTATTCAATAAAAAGAAGCATTCTGAAAGTAGGGGATAAATAATTAGTCCAGATTTATCATCATTTGCTTCAATATTATATATACATATACATATACATATAAGACTTACAAGATTTATATTAATAAAACAAACACAAAGTCCCTTGAGACTCTTTCTTAGAATGGTGAAAATCACACCACAGCTTTCAGTATCTACAAATAAGTGAAATGGTCCTAGAAGAATTCCAAAAACAAGATGGAATATTTAAGACTATTCATGCCATATCCAAAATTTGGGATTCTTCTAATATAAGATTATAATATTTAAGTTTTGTTTTTCCCTTTTTCTCCTTATTTGCTAAATTCATTAATTTTTTCAGACCAGACAGAACTTGCTGTATTTTTTCTTTTTATTGACTTATAATGTATATATCAAGTTGTACTAGTTAAAGCTGACAATTATTAGGAATTCCTATTGTATTATACAATTATACAATAGGAATTCCTAATAATTCATTTATTTTAACACTGATTCCAAGTTTCAGTTTGATACATCCAGTTATATCAATGTCATTTCAATTTTTTGTTTGTTTGCCAATTTTATGATTTTTGTATGTTCCCTTTTTACTTACTTTTTTTCTGGGGAGTTTTTTCCTTATTTATTTGTAAACTTATTTTTTTAAAATAAAAATAAAAATAGAAAGATATACGTGATAAAATTGACCGGGCACAGCCTTAATGTTTCTTTACTAAATTTCAACAAGAGCTGCTGGCATGCCTGCTTGGGTCCATTTTAAACTTAAAAAGAAGGCCTGTCCAATTTTGTATTTATGCCCATTGCTGATGTGTATAGAAATGCTTTGGCTGAAAAGATAAAAATTATTGCCAAGCTAATACAATATGCGCACATCTATGTGAATTCTTAACGAAAGCAGAGAATTCATGTAATGTTTAGAACATTACCACAAAGAAAATAACAGGATTTTTCAAATACTATTTGTAACATCTTTATTTTACCAATAAATTGGTGTTAATATTGAACTAAAATCAGGATGCAATCGTAGAGATTTGAAATCCCGTGCAGAATAAAAGGATATACCTTCTTTAAACAAAACAATACTTTTTTTCATTTACAGAGTTTATATTGTGACCTGCAGTGATTTTCTCTGTTTTGTTGTATCTATTGAGGCTTAAAAATGATTAATCATTGATACTTAATGCAATGGACAATATAATGATTTAATAAAACAAATAAAGACTATATTAAGGAAGACATTGCAGACCATCATCTGCTGGAACTCAGAAATCAGTATTTATCTAAAGATGGTATAACAATAATTGATTAAAAAGTAGATTGGATTGCTAAATCTTCTCAGAAAGGGTACAAATGAGTTCAGTTTGGTTCTAAATAAAGAAGGAATTTAATAAAGAAAGATTCTTTTAGCATGGGAAAATTTCACCTGCTGACTTTCTTACTTCTTTGCAGCACAGGAGTACCAATAAAAAAAATGGCAACTTTCTCATAGATTGGGGATAACATATTTCCTGCACATGGCATTGTTACAAGAAGTGAGAAATCCAGCAGGTGGCTATCATCAAAATCCAAGCAACCTTCTATCACCTGTCTGGAATCCCCGCTCTTATAATTCCTCCTCCTGCATTCCATCGTGTTCTGGTTCTCCAGGCAAAAGAATTCCATCTAGCAGACAGCTATACTGTCCCATCTGTTCTTCAATGAGATCATCAGCCCTGGATTAACCATTAACCAGGGGAAATAAGGCACCATAGAGTTTCTTCCCCTAGTTATCATGCCCTTAACTCCTTCACTGCCACACTCAATTTTAATTTTCAATAAATTTTTCTATTCGCATTTTTCCTTTTCTACAATTTTAATAAAAATGCATTAAAATGTTAAATAAAATATTTTTCCTATAGCCCTAATTACAAGTAATGAATCTGCTTATATTGCTTACTATTTAGTATTAATTTTTTAAAGTTTATTTTAATATAGTTGTGGAATGGTCTGAAAGAAAACTGAATTTTGATTATGTCCTATCTGTTAAGTAATGGAAGAGCCAAGGGGCGCCATTGTTAGACTGTATTTAAGGTACCAGTTAGCTTTAATATAACATCAGAGGCCATGAATTCTTCTACAGAATTTAAATGGGAAACAGGAAACTCCCCTAAAAATACTTTTTTAAAAGCGGTATTAAATAAAGTAGCGGCATAGATCATTCTCAGTCCTGTAGCAATCAAGAATCTTCTGGCCTTTAAAGACCAAAACATCTCTTATTGCACAAGACTTGTATTCCCTAAACAATATATACCCACAGTTGTGGTTGCAGTTAAGAGAAGGAGGAAGTAGTAAAAAGAGAAGTGAAATATGCAATTTGGAAATAACTAAACGTGAAATTGTCATAATAATTGACATGGCTATTTTAGCATTGAAGTGAAGGAATTTAATGAGCCAAAAAACCTTGGTCCATATTCAATCCATGAAAACATACTTTCTCTTTTCAAAATGAAAAGAGAAATTACTTTTCAAATGAGTTTGAATTCCATTGTTTAAATCTTTTATAGTTCCTTTTTTCACATGATGCTACCTTGAAGATAGTGATACAATTTCATGGGAAACTAAAAGATTCCCTTATTGGTTTCAGTATGTTGTCATTTGAAATGTCAGATTTGTGTCCATTTATGTTTTTTTGTGGAAGGCAAAGATAAGACTGCAAAAATCTGGAAAACCATCAGATAACTGCAAAGAGGTAGAGAAACCCTAACTCTCTACTGCAGTGGTTCTCAACCTTCCTAATGCCGTGACCCTCAACCATGTGGTCGTAAGTCGAGGACTATCTGTATTTCCCTGCGGGCAGGGCAGGAGGAGGCGCACACGCTCCGCCTCCTCTCCTGTGGCTGGAGCGCACACTGGGCAGGCCAAGGGTGCATGCAGGACATCGCCCAGCAACCACCTCGGCCCGGGAGCGCCGTGCATGCGTGGTGCTGCCCCCTGCATCGGCCGAGGCGTAGCTGGCAAGCGGCAGCGACGGCGCAGGCTGACCACCGGCTGGGCCACCAGCTGGCCCAGCCCAAGGGAAGTAAGGCACCCGCCGGGCCCCACATGTGCCAGCAACCCTCCCTGCACCTGCCGCTGCCCCGCTAGCCTTACCTTGGCCACCGCATGTTCAGTACAGCAGCAGGCAGGCCCAGGCACTCCTGGGCAGCCATGGCACATGGCAGCAAGGGCGCAGGGCAACCACCGGCTGGACTATCAGCTGGTCCAGCCCAAGGGAGGTAAGACACTTGCCAGGCCCCACGCGCGCCAGCAACCCTCCCTGCGCCCGCCAGCCTCCCACCTCCCACCCCTGGCCCTCTTTTACTTACATTTAGTAGTTGCTCAGCAGGGAGGGGTGAAAACATTCAGAAAGCTCGCCTTAGCTGCAGACAACTTGCAGCATCGTTTGCAGACTGGGACTTTTGGCGGGCTCAGCAGGGCAGAGGCAGCCTGGACAATTCCTATTGGCTTTTGAAAGCCTATAGAATTAGACTCTATTCAAGAGAGTCTATTCTATTGGCTTTTGAAAGCCAATAGATTCTATTGGCTTTTGAACGCCAATAGAATAGAGTCTCTTGAATAGAGTCTATTCTATTGGCTTTCAAAAGCCAATAGAATAAGAGGGAGTAGCACAGCTAAGGAAAAGGAGGAAAAAAATGGTGGACTGCGTTGTTTGGCAACCCCTGTGAAATGATCGTTTGACCCCAAATGGGGTTGCGACCCATAGGTTGAGAACCGCTGCTCTACTGCCATCTCACTTATATCCAGATTTTCTAGCGTACATTTGATAGCCCTAAAATATTTGTGTAGAAACTGGTTGGATTGTTTGAGATAAAATTTAGTAGAACTGCTAAGGGAGAAACTCATATATTGCATTGGTAAATGAGCAAATATATTGTCCCTTAATGTATGTAATATAATAACATTCTATAATAGCATTACCACAGCAAATATGGGGTCAGAATTGGCATCTAGATGTACTGCAGGATCATTGTTGTTGTGGTATGCTCCGTTGTTTTTTAAGTAGTAGCTGTGTTGGATTAAGTGGTTCTCTATTACCAAATCAAAGCTTTCCAGCTAAGGGCCAGTGAAAGGGAATTGTCATTCTTTAAAGGGGCTGTAGACAATGCATTTGAATTGTTTTAGCTGGGAGCTGTATGGAATGGAATGTTTTTGGTGTGTCTCTATGACAGTGGCCACCAATCTTTTGGGCCCCAGGGACTGGTTCTATGGAGGGAGTTTTTTCCATGGACAGGGGAGCTGTTGTTTCACTTGCTGCCTGGATCCCATGAGTGTGCAGATGGGGCTTCACTCGCTTGCATAGCCCAGGTTCTGGTGGGTCACAGACAGTCTCTGGCCTGGGGGTTGGGAACCCCTGCTCTTTGAAAGAAATTATCTCTAGGTACTTGTGGGAATCTGACGAAACAAAAGAACAGAGGAAAAGAGTGAAAGTGAAATATCACCTATTAACATATAGAGAAATCTGTGACACTTCTCTAAATTATCCTGTTGCATTATTGAGATGGAGGCACCCTGATATATGGATGAAATGTAGAATTAGGTCTTTTAGATATAATTTACCTTGAATTAGAAGACAAAAATAAAAATAACTTTTTATTTAAATATATATAAGTGAACTGAAGTACAGCTGATTCTCTCAGTGCAGCACAATGAAAAACTCTTTCCATCATACTTCATCATCCTATCATCATTCCCTTCTTTGTCATTGATACAGAGAGAGAAAGAGAGAGAGAGAGAGAGAGAGAGAGAGAGAGAGAGAGAGAAACACACACACACACCTTAAAATAACATTAGGAATTCTTTGCATATTATCCAAGATGTAGCATTTAAATCAGCTTTCCTCAACTCAGTGACTGTGTTTGCACATCATATTGAATCACAAATGTAACCTGCTCAATATGCAAATTCATCCATTATGATTCGTATGGATCAGTGTGTTGTGTAGACCCAGAACAATGAGTTAAGATTGCTTCACTTTGAGTGTGGGGTATTGTGTGCAATCACAAACAATATCTTTTAACTGGCTGATCTGTTTTTAAAATTAAAAAGAATTATGCTGAAATCAATTTAACCTCTAATTTTAAAAAATACAATTGATTGGTTATTGTAAAATTAATAATAACTTAATAGCTGGAAGAAAGCTACATCCATTCCTGTAGACAGTAGATATGCAAAGATTAGGAGCTGGCATAGCCTACCCTAATTGTGGTAAGAGGAGTAAGGGAATATTTCAAATGTTTGCTAGTTCACAGTAGCCACAAGGGGAAATATGGAGGCTTTACTCAGCTTTTTAACAGCACTGTGTTCAGATTCACTGCTATTCTTGAACTCAGAGAAATTTGGGCCAGTTCAGTATAATCTGTAACACATTTGTAAAAGAGCAGATTACTATAACTGGCTTTCCATAACACTAAACTGAATCAACATCCCTGTAACTTAGCAACTACCTTCCCTGCCCCCCCCCCCACAAAAAACCCTTTGGGAATTTATTCTCATAAAGCAACTTAGTGGAAAGGAGAGGGGAAAGGAGCATTGAATTAGCAATCAGATTTTTCTTCAGTCACAGTGTATTCGAGACGGGAGTGGAAAGAACCAGCAAAATTCCTTATTTAAACATTTGCTCCCCTCACTGTTTTACATTTTCTGTTCTTGGAAGAAAAAAGAATTTTTGTGTCTGTCCTTTCCTCCTGATTGATTTAACAACTATATAAGGAAAAATAAGTTAGACTTCTCTTTAGTCTCAGTTCTGACACTAAGCTCTATTATATACCGGGAAAGCATCATTATGCCTTCAAACCACCCCCCTCTCTCTCTCTCTAACACACACAGACACACACACAATTTGTCTACGTGCACAGCAAGGACCCATTTTTGCAGTACATGTCATTACCACCTGTCATTACCACCTGTCCCAAAATGACAACATTATGGAATTTTTAAAATAATATCATCAAAACCTAAAGGAGGGTAGTTCAAAATCTCCACCACAATTTTTATGAAATTTCACATGCTTCAATTCTTAAAACCAATCTTGATTTCATTTCATGCTTGTGAAAACCACACAAAATGTGTGACTAGCTTCTCAGAGTGAGATGGCTGTCACTCTAGAAAGAGTACAGAGAAGAGCAACAAAGTTGATCAGGGGACTGGAGGCTAAAACATATAAGGAACGGTTGCTGGAATTGGGTATGTCTAGTTTAACGAAGAGAAGGACGAGGGGGGACATGATAGTAGTCTTCCAATATCTCAGGGGCTGCCACAAAGAAGAGGGAGTCAATCTATTTTCCAAAGCGCCTGAAGGCAGGACAAGAAGCAACGGATGGAAACTAATCAAGGAGAGAAGCAATCTAGAACTAAGGAGAAATTTCCTGACAGTTAGAACAATTAACCAGTGGAACAACCTGCCTCCAGAAGCGGTGAATGAGCCAATACTGGAAGTTTTTAAGAAGAGACTGGACAGCCATTTGTCCAAAATGGGTTTCTGCCTGAGCAGGGGGTTGGACTTGATGACCTCCAAGGTCCCTTCCAACATCATCATCATCATCATCATCATCATCATCATCATTATTATTATTATTATTATTATTATTATTATTATTATAT